AATCAGATAACCAAGGGAGATGCCACTTAGAGGAGTCACTCAGCACCACAACGGTACTAATCATAGTGCAAAGAAACTCCTGCAAATCTGTGCGTCAAGCTTTGTGCCAGTCCTTTTTTTGTACAAACTGCTCTCAGTGATCAAACTACCACTCAAGGCATTATTTTTGAGTGTTATTGTCAATCAAATTAATGCAACGAGAGCTATTTCAGGTAGCTATCGTTTCCGTTTCCAAGCTGGCATTTCTATTATTGCTGGAAAGTAATAGAACTGTCAGAAAACAATCAGTTTAGCATCGTGGTTTCATCACCACTTTGCAGAATTCTTGGGTCTGGTCAAGAATTTCACCAAGTTTGTCGTGTTTAGCAATGCAGGGATATTTTAGGATAACTTTATTGAAATCATTTAATAAAATGCTTTCGTGAAAATTAAATTTCAAATGAAAAAATCAGTGGAACTTTCTTCCTGAAAAATCGCAAGCCTTATGAAATGATAAAGCTTCCCTATTCTGCCCTTTGTTCTATGTGCGTGTTTACTCTCTCTTTCACCTGTTGTGATTTGGTGTGTTGGGTTTTATGCTGTCCTTTAGATTACCGTGTTCCGCATGGGGTCCGAAGGGCAACAGGACATTGAGATGTCTATCCTAACTGCTCTCCTCAAAGGTGAGTTTTGCCGGCAATTAGGAAGGAAGAAGACTGTCCTGTACACTTTCTGAGGTTCGCTCTTGACGTTTAACTCTTTCATTTTATTCACTTGGATTCCCAGAAGTAACCCAAACGTACTTGACTTAAGGTTCAGATTAGCTCGAAACATAAAATCCAGATTGAAAGTTTTTGTGGCTTTCCTCGCCTGAAAGCGAGGTGGGAATGCGGCAGCAATTGCATTGCTGATATTTCAACATCTTTTGTGCAGTTCTAGCATATATTAATCGTGTTAGAAAAAAAGGTGGGAAGATTAAAAGGCTGTCTGGATTTTTCCAGATCTCAGATTGTGCTTTTTAAGCCTTAGCGCAAAATTTAGGACTGGTTCCATATTTATTTAGAGTTTATATTTGCTGAAACAACTGGTTTCTGTTTGCAGGTATCTAGTAGTTGACCCAGACTCAGTATGAGATTATTGGTGTCCCCAAAGCTAAGAAATAAAGAGAGGAATTACTATAGTTATATCTACGGCTCAGAGGAGGAGTCTTTTAGAACAGTTAGATGTCTTTAGAATATAAAGTCATTGTGGGATCTTTAAGGAAAAAAGGGAGAGAATCTGATTAATCCTTTTGAAATTAGGATTATGGGGTTAGGTGGAAGATGCTAGAAACTGATTTGATGAAACTGGTGCTTTGCGTTAAAATTATTCCGATGGCAGTGCGATAGGGAGTGAGGCTACTCTTCTTGGAGGCGTGAATTACAGAAGATTGTCCAGTCTTGTGCCGCCATGCATGAAATACTGAACAGCTCTGTGGTTCTCTTTAGGTACCAATGCATCCGCTCCAGACCAGCTCAGTTTGGCTTTAGCCTGGAATCGGGTAGACATTGCACGCAGCCAAATCTTTGTCTTCGGACACCACTGGCCAGTAAGACCAAATTTTCCTAGTTATACTGTTTGCTAACTATTTAAAATGAGTGCTGGAATATTCACACATTGTGCTTTGTTGGCAGGAAAGATGATACT